TTTTTATTAATTAAAGTCTGAAACTTTAATTTTGACTTGAGTACAAATGTAACTTTAAGTTAGTTTTGCTTTGTGCTTGCAGCAAACTCCTACAGTGTTATCTACCTGGCGCTGTTGGGCACTATAGTGTGAGAATCTTGGTTTGTAGGGGCTCCCCACTGTCACTGCAGACTAGAGTCTGATTGTGTGGCCTCCCTGTTCTTGCTGTCACAGTTCCATAACAGCTGCACAGGTTGGGAGTTTTCCTGCTCTGGAATCAGCTCGCCTCCTGTCCACATGGTACTGCCTGTCACTTTTGGTCCCTCTTCTTCCCCTGGCTCCTGCTGGCCACCTCTCCCCTGCCCAAGACTGCCCTGTAAGGGTCAGCTTGAAGCTCTCGGCTGCCTCGTAGGACCCAGTATCCTCTCTTTGCCCCTGCTTTCTCTTGTCATTCTACATTACTGAGCTTGGGCTCCAGTAGAACTTGGTTTTGTAACTGTTGACAGCCACTTGTCATGTTGTTTTAGACTAAGATTCATCCTATAAAATGAAGTAATGTTCACCTCAGAGAGAAGGAAAAATGTCTCCAGAATTTTGGTTCTTGAATGTAGATGCATTTGTAAATGAGGCTTTCTGGACTTGGTACCCTTCTTTCAAACCCAGTAATAATTTTGCCATATAACAGTTTAATAACTGAAGCATTGCTGGGGTTTTTTCTTATTAAAAATTACATGACCTCTTGTCACCAGTGCTGTCTCCACTGTTTTAAGAATAAACATTAGACATGCTTATCACCATTCCATAGATTTTTGGGTTTTTTATTTTCATTTTTATTACTCTCATTTACTTATTGTTTGTGGGTTTGGGTATACATGTACCATGGGTCTGAGGACAACTTGTGGGAGCCTGTTCCCTATTCTATATACCTAGGGGTTGAACTCAGGTAGTAAGGTTTGATAGCAAGCACGTTTACCTATGAACCTAACTCTGGCCCAGATGTTTGGTTTTTTTTGAGACAGTCTTTTTTTTTCCTATTTTCTTTTTTATTCCATAAATATTTTTATAATATTTATTTGTTTGTTTATGTATATGAGAGCCTTGTTTTCATCCATACCAGAAGAGGCACCAGATCTCATTATAGATGGGTGTGAGCCACCATGTGGTTGTTGGGAATTGAACTCAGGACCTCTGGAAGAGCAGCCAGTCAATGCCCTTAATCACTGAGCCACCTCTCCAGTCCCAAGACAGAGTCTTACTGTATAACTTAAGCTGCTTTTCTTTACCTCCCAGTACTGACACTATAAGTATGCAGCACCATGTCTGGTTTATTTATAGATGTTTGTAAGAAAAAAGCTAGTACTGTGCAGTGTCAGGCAGCACTTAATAACTTTTGTGATTGACTTCCATTGAGTTCCATAGTGATACACATGCAATGACTGAAAACAGGTAAAGCTTCCTGTGGTGGCGCACACCCCTAGTCCCAGCGCTCAGACAGGCTGTGAGTTTCAGGTCAGCCAGGGCTGCATAGTGAGAGCCTACCTCAAAACTCAACTAAAATACATTTTTAAATTAACCGTTGGGGCTGGGGAGATGTCTTAGTGGATAAGACCTTTAGCCAGTCATGCTGAGGAAGTGGGCATGCCGTGCAGGGAGGCAAGAGGATTATGGAACCTGCTGGCCAATCAGCTTAGCTAAAAATTGGCAAGCCCCAAGTTTAGTGAGAGAACCTGGCTCAAGTTGTTCTGATCTGACCTCCACATGTGTGCCCAAGTATGCGCGTGCGCGCGCACACACACACACACACACACACACACACACACACACACACACACACACACAATTTTAAGATTAAAATTGTAAGAAAGGTTAGCTGCTGTGGGATTCCTTTACCAAATAAAGATGGGAGGCCCATGCTAAGCAGCAGTGTTGAGGGGAGTCATGGAGATGACTCTTCTGTAGGTCATGGGAAAAGAAGAACCGTAGAAACAGTTTTGCTCAGAGTGAATCCAGGGAAGCAGGAATATAGCTTGGTCACATTTTGACTTCCAAGAACACAAGGGGTGTGAATGGTTGACCCCTGATTTATGTAGCTCTCTAACTCGTCCCCAAGGAAAACCCTGGGGTTGCCCATTTTAAATTGTGCCAGATGGTGTCATTTTTGCCTCTTGTTTTTAGACTGCTTTTTACATTTCTGGTTAGTTAATGCATCTTGATTGACATGTTTCTTTTACCAAGTTCCTTTCCTGTTTTAATTACATTTCAAATTTACATATTTGCTGTTCCTCCTGGACACTTGCATTAGCTACTTCATGAGTGTCTTATCCTTGTTTTATCCCTCACCCATCCCAGTGATCTTACTTAAGCACTGTGTAGACCTGGAGTCTCAAGCTGACACCGAAAGGGGCCAGTCAGGCCATAAAAATGAGTGAAATTACTTGACTGTAGGACTGTAGAAATGTTCCCATACCTGTCTAGAGGTTTTCATGTTTTTAAAACACTCTACTTGTGGCTAGAGAGATGG